CACTGTCAAGAGCATTAATGATGTGGAGGAGTTCATTGCTACAGATGTATGTGGCCAACTACGTTTTTATTAGTAGTAGTAGCAGTACTATTTTTCAATTATACATAAAATATAATGGAAGACCACTGCATGCTACAATATAAAATACCCTTCTCTTTTAACTATCTAATAAATAATGTGATTAATTTGGTGTAAAAACAGACTGCCATTGATATTCTGGGCTTCACTGCTGATGAGAAAATCAGCATCTACAAGCTGACAGGTGCTGTGATGCATCATGGGAGCATGAAGTTCAAACAGAAGCAGAGAGAGGAGCAGGCCGAACCTGATGGCACTGAGGGTAAAATTAATTAGTAGCGCAAATTAGCATGTAAACATTCATTTCATTAGTGAAAGTAATGCATAAAACTATTCTTCCTCAGTGGCTGATAAAATCGCCTACCTCATGGGCCTCAACTCTGCTGACATGCTGAAAGCTCTGTGCTACCCCAGAGTGAAGGTCGGGAATGAGATGGTGACCAAAGGTCAGACAGTACCACAGGTGATCACTTACCTACTCAAAAGATGAATAAACCTAGAAATGCCCCATAGGCATTCAGAAAACACAATTATTCTTTTAAAAAAACAATTCAAGTCACCTTTATTTTTATAGCGCTTTTAACAGTACAGATTGTGTCAAAGCAGCTTTACAGTATCAAATATGGAAATAGCGTGTATTAATGCGAAAGGACAATAGTAAACTCTCAATTTTCAGTTAAAGGCAGTTCATCGTTGAATTCAGTGATGTCATCATCCAGCTCAGTTCAATTTAAATAGTATCTGTGCAATCAAGTCAACGATATCGCTGGAAATTAAGTGTCCCCAACTAAGCAAGCCAGAGGTGACAGCGGCAAGGAACCAAAACTCCATCGGTGACAGAATGGAGAAAAAACCTTGGAAGAAACCAGGCTCAGTAGGGGACCAGTTCTCCTCTGGCCAGACAAACCAGCAGGTTCATCCATGCTGCAGCAAAGTCAGATTGTGCAGAGGACTCAACTGGTTCCTGTGGTCTTGTCCCGGTGGCCATCTAAGAGACAAGGTCTTCACTGGGGATCTGTCTCTGGGGCTCATCTAGTTGTCCTGGTCTCCGCTGACATTCAGGGCTGAGGTCTAATATCAATTTCACTGACCTTTGAATTTCTCAGGTGAACAACGCAGTCTCGGCTCTCTGCAAGTCTGTCTATGAGAAAATGTTCTTGTGGATGGTTGTCCGTATCAATGAGATGTTAGACACGAAGCAGCCTAGACAGTTCTTCATTGGTGTGCTGGACATCGCTGGGTTTGAGATCTTTGATGTGAGCATCAGTGATTAATGTCTCTGTAAGAATCAAGATATAAAAGATAACATTCAGCAGTAAGAACTTGCCTCTCTTGAATTTTCAGTTCAACAGCTTGGAGCAGCTTTGCATCAACTTCACAAATGAGAAACTGCAACAGTTCTTCAACCACCACATGTTTGTTCTGGAGCAAGAGGAGTACAAGAAAGAAGGCATTGATTGGGAGTTCATTGACTTTGGTATGGACTTGGCTGCCTGCATTGAGCTCATTGAGAAGGTAAGAGGATATTCTGTAAATTAAATGTACTATTCACATTGTGCCTGTACTTGAGTGTGAACATTTCTTCAACAGCCAATGGGCATCTTCTCCATCCTTGAAGAGGAGTGCATGTTCCCCAAGGCTACAGACACAAGCTTCAAAAACAAGCTGCATGATCAGCATCTGGGCAAATGTGCAGCTTTCCAGAAGCCCAAGCCTGCCAAAGGTAAGGCAGAGGCCCACTTCTCTCTGGTGCACTACGCCGGCACTGTGGACTACAACATTAGTGGCTGGTTGGACAAGAACAAGGATCCGCTGAACGACTCTGTTGTGCAACTTTACCAAAAGTCATCGGTCAAAGTACTGGCCTTCCTGTATGCCGCTCATGGAGGTGCTGAAGGTATGAACATCTGCATTTCCTGAATTCTTCAATTTTAAGTTTTAATTACATGCAATTCAAACTACACAACTACCTTACTAGCTTACTACTAATAACCATAAAATTAGGAGTTTGTTCAGGGATAACATCTTTCTTTGGCGTAAAACAGCTGAGGGCGGCGGTGGAAAGAAAGGAGGCAAGAAGAAGGGTGGTTCCTTCCAGACTGTGTCTGCACTTTTTAGGGTAAACAGATTCTCTCTTTTAATGAAGGTTTTGAACTTCTTCTATATGAAAAACTAGACTAATGACAAATATTTCCACAGGAGAACTTGGGTAAGCTGATGACTAACCTGAGGAGCACTCACCCTCACTTTGTGCGCTGCTTGATTCCTAATGAGTCCAAGACTCCAGGTAAACTTGATCCCCAAAAACACAAATGGATCACAGTTTTGTACATACTTCTGAAACATTAAGAACATTTGCATTTCAGGTCTGATGGAGAACTTCCTGGTTATCCACCAGCTCAGGTGTAATGGTGTGCTGGAGGGTATCAGAATCTGCAGGAAGGGTTTCCCCAGCAGAATCCTCTATGGTGACTTCAAGCAGAGGTAAAGACACCACACCTTTTTCAACCTATTAATTAGAGATAATACACCATCTAATCTTATACACATTTCAAAATTGTGCTTTCATCACTTTTGTGCCTTCACCAAAACAAATCTTACCTTAATGTCCTCTAGGTACAAAGTATTAAATGCTAGTGTCATCCCTGAGGGACAGTTCATTGACAACAAGAAGGCTTCAGAGAAACTCTTGGGCTCTATTGATGTTGACCACACCCAATACAAATTTGGACACACCAAGGTGAGCTACTCAGTAAATACACCATATGGCCAAAAACCTGTGGGTACCCTCTTCTAATTAGAGTAACAGTTAACCAAAAAATACAATCTCTGTCATACTTTACTGCTGTCACTCCATTCTAAACTTGTTGCTTTTTCTAGCTCAGCGGAACAACAATTAAGATATTTGAATGTTTAGGTGGTATTGTAAGAATGTTTCAGTTGTTTTTCCTCTAATCAAAGAAAGTAGGGTCCAAAATGAATAGCATGAATAAATTACAAAATGTTCATTTTTGGGTCTAGTACAACTTTTACGGGCTCAGTTATTCCAGACTTTCAGTGAAAACTGATCTCTAAACTACACCACACAATGGGACTTTAAACAATTCTATGCAGCTCTTGATGAAGGGAGGCCTTGCACTAGAGTTTGAATATGAACACAAGGATTTGCTGCCATTCATAAGTGAGGTCATGCATTGGTGTAGCAATGGCATCTGGCTCGCAGTCAGAATTCCAGTTCATCCAAAAAGTGTTAAACAGAGGTTCAGGTTTTGTGCCAGTAAAATTATTTCACAGTAAATATGTTCATGCTGAAGATAGAAAGTGATCCTCCCAAAACTTTTTCAAAAAAAATCTCTAGGATGTCATTGCATGGCGTAAAAAGTGATTTCTTTTCACTGGAATTGACAGAAAAATAAAACTCACTAGTTAAAAGAGGACATATAGTGTACCCCAGGCCACATCGAAGTTGAAGTGGACTACTTGCCTTCTTCAATACTATACCACTAATATCTTCTAAATGTTCTTGTAGGTGTTCTTCAAAGCTGGTCTGTTGGGTACTCTTGAGGAGATGAGAGATGAGAAACTAGCAACACTGGTTACCATGACTCAGGCTTTGTGCCGTGGATACGTCATGAGGAAGGAGTTTGTCAAAATGATGGAGAGGAGGTACAATCAACTTACAAAACTGTCTGGAACACAACTGTTTAAAACCACAAAGTGATAATGACTGATTAACTGATTACATTTTACACAGAGAAGCAATTTATTCCATCCAATACAACATCCGCTCATTCATGAATGTCAAACATTGGCCATGGATGAAGCTCTACTTCAAGATCAAGCCTCTTCTGAAGAGTGCAGAGACTGAGAAAGAAATGGCAGCTATGAAGGAGAACTTTGAGAAAATTAAGGAGGATCTAGCAAAGGCATTAGCTAAAAAGAAGGAGCTTGAGGAGAAAATGGTGTCACTCATTCAAGAGAAAAATGACCTTCAGCTGCAAGTAACATCTGTGAGTATTTCAGCTCTTATTTATCCCAATATGGGTCCTACAGCTATGAACATAAGTTATTAACTACATGCATGTCAATGAACAGGAATCTGAAAACCTCTCTGATGCTGAGGAGAGATGTGAAGGTCTCATCAAAAGCAAGATCCAGCTCGAGGCCAAACTCAAAGAGACAAGCGAGAGACTGGAGGATGAAGAGGAAATCAATGCTGAATTGACTGCCAAGAAGAGGAAACTGGAGGATGAATGCTCCGAGCTGAAGAAAGACATTGATGACCTGGAGCTCACCTTGGCAAAAGTGGAGAAGGAGAAACATGCAACAGAAAATAAAGTCAGTATTTTTTGACATCGTCACACTGCTGATTGGGATTCAGGCTCTTGAGAATTAAACCAGTAAACAATGTTTCCATGTAGGTGAAAAACCTAACGGAGGAGATGGCCTCTCAGGATGAGAGCATTGCCAAGCTGACCAAAGAGAAGAAAGCCCTCCAAGAGGCACACCAGCAGACTCTTGATGACCTTCAGGCAGAGGAAGACAAAGTCAACACTCTGACTAAAGCTAAGACAAAGCTTGAGCAGCAAGTCGATGATGTAAGATGTTTGGCATGAGAATAAGGTCACAAATCAAAGTTAATTATTTTTGTTGTTATCTACCAGCTTTTAATGCTCTGGTTTCTGTAAAAACAGCTTGAGGGCTCACTGGAGCAAGAGAAGAAGCTCCGTATGGACCTTGAGAGAGCCAAGAGGAAGCTTGAGGGTGATCTGAAACTGGCCCAGGAGTCCATAATGGACCTGGAGAATGAAAAACAGCAATCAGATGAGAAGATCAAAAAGTGAGTGGATGTCAACCTTCCCACGATTACACATTTGACAAAAAGTATTTTACACATTTTACAAAATATTGGGTACTCTTGAGGAGATGAGAGATGAGAAACTAGCAACACTGGTTACCATGACTCAGGCTTTGTGCCGTGGATACGTCATGAGGAAGGAGTTTGTCAAAATGATGGAGAGGAGGTACAATCAACTTACAAAACTGTCTGGAACACAACTGTTTAAAACCACAAAGTGATAATGACTGATTAACTGATTACATTTTACACAGAGAAGCAATTTATTCCATCCAATACAACATCCGCTCATTCATGAATGTCAAACATTGGCCATGGATGAAGCTCTACTTCAAGATCAAGCCTCTTCTGAAGAGTGCAGAGACGGAGAATGACAAACAGCAATCAGATGAGAAGATCAAAAAGTGAGTGGATGTCAACCTTCCCACGATTACACATTTGACAAAAAGTATTTTACACATTTTACAAAATACTACTTTCAAAACAGGAAGGACTTTGAGATAAGTCAGCTTCTCAGCAAGATTGAGGATGAACAGTCTTTGGGAGCACAGTTTCAGAAGAAGATCAAAGAACTTCAGGTAATGCTGACCATAATCTTTTCTATGTGAAACTGTGAAGTTGCTGGGCAAATCCACATTACAAATATCACAAAAGGATTTTTTTTTCCTCAATTAGGCCCGTATAGAGGAGCTGGAAGAGGAAATTGAGGCAGAGCGAGCTGCTCGTGCTAAAGTGGAGAAGCAGAGAGCTGATCTCTCCAGGGAACTTGAAGAGATCAGCGAGAGGCTTGAGGAAGCTGGTGGTGCCACTGCTGCTCAGATTGAGATGAACAAGAAGCGTGAAGCTGAATTCCAGAAGTTGCGTCGTGATCTGGAAGAGTCTACCTTGCAGCATGAAGCTACAGCTGCAGCTCTCCGAAAGAAGCAGGCAGACAGTGTGGCTGAACTCGGAGAACAGATCGACAACCTCCAGCGGGTCAAGCAGAAGCTGGAAAAGGAGAAGAGTGAATACAAGATGGAGATTGATGACTTGACAAGCAACATGGAGGCTGTGGCTAAAGCAAAGGTAATGTCATTAGAGAATCATTAAATATAAAAGCATCTTTACAAACTTCTGCATATAACCCTGTACCTTTTAAGGCTAATTTAGAGAAGATGTGCCGTACCCTGGAAGACCAGCTGAGTGAAATCAAGACCAAGAGTGATGAAAATGTTCGTCAGCTGAATGACATGAATGCACAACGTGCAAGACTTCAGACTGAAAATGGTAAGGCATGGCAAATAAGGTACACATGTAAAAACCTTAACAAATGTATTAAAAAGTGTCTATGTTATTATATTTCATAGTAATATTTCTAACGTGATTTCAAGGTGAATTTAGCCGCCAACTGGAAGAGAAAGAAGCACTTGTTTCACAGCTAACTAGAGGAAAACAGGCTTATACACAGCAAATTGAGGAACTCAAAAGGCATATTGAGGAAGAAGTCAAGGTAGAGTTATACAAAATGAAGGAGTTATTTTTTTTTTAATTAGGTTTTGATAATTTAAATAATTATAAAGATTATTGGAAAACTCAAAATATGCTGCCTTACAGGCCAAGAATGCTCTGGCCCATGCGGTTCAGTCTGCCCGCCATGACTGTGATTTACTCAGAGAGCAGTATGAGGAGGAGCAGGAGGCCAAAGCTGAACTCCAGCGTGGAATGTCTAAGGCCAACAGTGAAGTAGCCCAGTGGAGAGTCAAATATGAGACTGATGCCATCCAGCGCACTGAGGAGCTTGAGGAATCCAAGTAAATACAGCAAAGAACAATGTCTCCAGCACCCTACATTTAATATCTCAAATGTTAGTAAGATTTCATACCACTTTCTTCAGGAAAAAGCTTGCCCAGCGTCTGCAGGATGCTGAAGAATCCATTGAAGCGGTGAACTCCAAGTGTGCTTCTCTGGAAAAGACCAAACAGAGACTGCAGGGTGAAGTAGAGGATCTCATGATTGATGTGGAGAGGGCAAATGCATTGGCTGCCAACCTTGACAAGAAGCAGAGAAACTTTGACAAGGTGAGAAGGATGTGGATAATCTTTAAATCCATACCTTGATCCATGGACTTGGCTAATTAACAATGATTACCTTTTTCTTCAGGTCCTAGCAGAGTGGAAACAGAAGTATGAGGAAAGCCAGGCTGAACTAGAAGGTGCTCAGAAAGAAGCTCGTTCTCTCAGCACTGAGCTTTTCAAAATGAAGAACTCCTATGAAGAAGCTCTTGACCACCTCGAGACCCTGAAGAGGGAGAACAAGAATCTGCAACGTAAATGGCACTTTTATTTTTACAGCAAGGATTTTAAAAAACAGAGATGCATTAAAAAATAGAAAATGATGTACAATTGATTTTTAAATACTTTCAGAGGAGATTTCTGACCTCTCTGAGCAGCTTGGAGAGACTGGAAAGAGCATTCATGAGATAGAGAAAGCCAAGAAGACAGTGGAATCTGAGAAATCAGAGATCCAGACTGTACTTGAAGAGGCTGAGGTGCTATTCCTTTTCTACAATAGTAACATTATGATACTATTGCTTTGAATAATATTAGACATTGAACATGAAATGGTTCATTCCCCATAAATGCTGCCATTTATAATAATAAATTTGAAAAGTAAACATTTTGCCCTTTTTCCTTATAGGGCACCTTGGAGCATGAAGAGTCCAAGATTCTTCATGTGCAGCTGGAGCTGAACCAGGTGAAGAGCGAGATTGACAGGAAGCTTGCTGAGAAGGACGAGGAGATGGAACAGATCAAGAGGAACAGCCAGAGAGTGACTGATTCCATGCAGAGCACTCTGGACTCTGAGATCAGAAGCAGAAATGATGCCCTGAGAGTCAAAAAGAAGATGGAGGGAGATCTGAATGAGATGGAGGTCCAGCTGAGTCATGCCAACCGCCAGGCTGCTGAGGCCCAGAAACAGCTCAGGAACGTCCAAGGCCAACTCAAGGTATCTTTCTGTAGAATGAGGAACTGCAATACATCTTAAATGTTTGATAATATGAATATGATACAGGAATTAAATGAATCATGACATGCAACTAACAAAGAAAGAACATTGCCACAGGATGCCCAACTGCACCTTGATGAAGCTGTCAGAGGACAGGAGGACATGAAGGAGCAGGTGGCCATGGTGGAGCGCAGGAATAACCTGATGCAAGCAGAGATTGAGGAGCTGAGAGCTGCACTGGAGCAAACAGAGAGAGGCCGCAAAGTGGCGGAGCAGGAGCTGGTGGATGCCAGCGAGCGTGTGGGACTGCTGCACTCACAAGTACAGAAAAACTATACTTGGAGCAAATTCAGGTTACATGATAACAGAGTTTTAGTTAAATGTACACTAAACTACCTGCTTAAATCCCACAGAATACAAGTCTTATTAACACCAAGAAGAAGCTTGAGGCTGATCTGGTCCAGGTTCAAGGTGAGGGGGACGATGCAGTCCAGGAGGCCAGAAATGCAGAGGAGAAGGCCAAGAAGGCCATCACTGATGTGAGCACTTACATTTTGTTGCTCTATTCTAACTTAAACAGTTATTTGACTTTGTTTATCTGCATGTGGTAACAAAGGGAAACTTCATGGAAGGCATTTCAGTCTATATTGGCAAGTTCATTTGAATTGGCTTATATTTCAGGCTGCCATGATGGCTGAGGAGCTGAAGAAGGAGCAGGACACCAGTGCTCACCTGGAGAGGATGAAGGTACAAGCTAAATACAGTCTTAGCTATGGTATAACTGGCTATGGTAGAGATTTGACAGGTGACAACAATGATTCTCTACTGAAGGTGCGCGAGTTGGAGGCTGAAGTTGAAGCTGAACAGAGACGTGGTGCAGATGCTGTGAAAGGAGTGCGCAAATATGAAAGGAGAGTGAAGGAGCTCACCTACCAGGTAAAACTTACAGGAGGAGCAGGCCAATACTCACCTGTCCAGGTACAGGAAGGTGCAGCACGAGCTGGAGGAGGCTCAGGAGCGCGCTGACATCTCTGAGTCCCAGGTCAACAAGCTAAGAGCCAAGAGCCGTGATGCTGGGAAGGTATTGTAAAGCTGTTCAAGGGGTGGGGGGGGGGATCTTCATATGCATTGCATGTAACTCAATTTTTCTTTTCTGTTACTGAAGAGCAAGGATGAAGAATGAAGATGATACATCACATCACATCTACAAGCAAGCATATAATATGACTTACTTGTGCTGTGTCTTAAATGTCCATTAAATATATTTTCTCAAGGCACTCACTGTTTGTCATTTTAGCTAAACTGGTAGATCACGGAGCCAACAATGCCAAAACCATCAGGGGATGCTTAAACTAATAGAAAAAATAATAAATACCTTAAACTGTACAGATGTAAACGTACTTTTACACAAATACTTTAATTAAAAAATAGGTTAAATTACAAAATAACCATTATAACTTCATATGTTACACATAATACAATATATATATATATATATATATGCACGGGGGAAGAGAATATACATTATTCACGGGTCTCCTGAGGAGAGGCGTGCTTGACTTTTAACAGTAGCAGTGACGAGGTTCCATTCACTTCAGGTGTGCCTCATCACACGCCATTTATTTATATAGCGCTTTTTACAATGCAGATTGTATCAAAGCAGCTTTATAGTATTAAACAGGGAAATAGTGTGTCGAAATAGTGTGCCATTCTCCTCTGACCAGACAAAACCAGCAGTTTAATTCTAGGCTATAACAAAGGCAGATTGTGCAGAGGACTCATCTGGTTCCCGTGGTCTTGTCCCGGTGGTCGTCTAGGAGACAAGGTCTTCACTGGGGATCTGTCTCTGGAGCTCATCTAGTTGTCCTGATCTCCGCTGACATTCAGGGCTGTAGAGGTCCTCT